GGGGAGGGGGGTTAAGAAATAAGTATCCTTCCAGTTACCCACCATCTAGTACAGCAGGACTCGAACTCGTAACCACAAGATTATTAACTGTACCTGTGAACCATTAGCCGTTCGATTTTTTCGCCCCGAAATATCTATCAGAAGGCGCAGCGATGGCTGAGTACTCCACTCAGCCTGGAAAATTGTGGAAATGCTAATTTTTCAATTTTTTTGTTTTTGTTTCTTTCTTTTTGGGAAAATGAATCTCCCTATCACCGTGGCCCAGCGCCCAAGGCATAGTACATCGCGAGGGTCGAAAACAAGGTACAGCTGGGTTACTCCTGCCCTACTCAAGCCTACTGAGGGCGAGATCCCACTGGCAAAGAAGATTGGAACAAGTGCCTGAATCTGGATGTGTTTGTGGAGAGGTGCAAACGATTGTGATTGATCTGCATTTCTGCATCTCTGTGTGGAACACGTCCAGATTCAGACACTTATTACAATCCTCTTTGCCAGTAGGATCTGGCCCTCAGAGCTCAGAGCCCCGTCCTTGAGAAGAGGTCCAGCTGCCAAAATCCCAAAGCCAGACACTGAACCGCCTATAGCAAGAATCATTATCGGACAAAGCAAGAAAAACAGAGACAAACCTAAGGGCGTACTCGCACTAGCTCTATCGTAAATGTATCTGACCGCATTTACAGCCACACCCAGATGCATCTGACCGCAATTAGGTCCATAAACAAGTAAAAGAAGTTCTAGCGTGAGTATGCCTTAAAGGCAAAGGAAAGATAGGCAAAGAAAAGCCGTGAAGTTTCCCTATACCACTAAAGGAAACAGCGGTCCTCGCGTGGGGCCCAACAGAAACCGGCGGCCGCCGCGCGGGACCGCTGTCGGGCAGAGGGCACGGGGGAACCGACGGCGCGCCGGTGTCGGGAAGCGGCCGTGGCGAAAAAGGGCGACCCCGGGCCGGACAATGGGAGCACATACATTGCTACTTTTTTGCTTAGCGATCCGTCGGCCGCCCGGGACCGCTGTCGGCCAGCCGGCAAGGGGGAACGAAAAAGGGCAACCCCGGGCCCCAGAACGCAACTACATACATTGCCAGTTTTTGGTTTCGCGACCCGTCGGCCGGTTCTTTCCAGAAGGGTCGTGAGCCGCTTTCTCTGGATGCGAATGCATCACGGGAGGAGTGAAAATACATTGCCATATTTTCTTTTTGTGATATCGTGACCGACCCGTCGGCCGGTTCTTTCCAGATGGGTCGCCAGCCGGTTTCTGTGGATGCGAATCCATCCTGCGAAGCGGGGAAAATACATTGCCATTTTTCTTTATCGTAAGTCGACAGGTGTGATCCACAAGGTGTGTGTGTGTGTGTGTGTGTGTGTGTGTGTGTGTGTGTGTGTG